GTACTTTAAACCGTTTAATAATCTTTTATCCAAAGGCTATTAATCCTATATAAACTTCAGCATCGTTTAGCGTGCCAGAGCCACCCACAGATACCTTGGCAGAAAGCCATAACTCCCACATTAAAATTATCTGCTGTGTTTGATTAAAATATACAATATACCTATGTATTTGTTAAACTGAAAAACAGAAATGAGCTATTATTTATTTTTTACAGAGTTTATTTCTGACAACTATCACTACAAAAATGTCTTATAAAGTTTTATATATATATGTATATATGAGTTATCACATGTAAGTACATGTGACTTTACTAGTCTACCTGACTGAAAAGCTGCAGCAAATCAACTGAGTCAGAGAAATTAATCTGTCTCCACAATTTATTTGTATATGTATGAATTTGAAGAGAAATATGTCAAATATTCTAAAATAATTAAGAAAACAGTGGAAATGATTTCTAATTCTACTAAATCAGCCATGTTATTTTTTTTTCCAACAGAAGTTACACTTTGCACAACACAAGGCAACCACACTACACATTGACAAAATCTTGGTTCACTTGACATAAAATACTTTTTGTTGTTAAAGTGCTCTGACCCTGACCCTGACAGAAAAAAAAATATATATTTTTTTATTTTTAGGTGCCTATACCCTGACAGCTGAGCTGTCAGTCATATACCCCATAACAAATATAATAAACCTTTTGATTATAACATACATAAATAAGTATTTAGTACAATAAAAAGAGAGAACGTGATAAAGTAAGTAATAATTTATTGTTAATATACAATTGACAACTATCTGTGGTTGCTTGTATGCACAACTCATGTTGGCCTTGACCTTCCTGAGAGTATTTGTACTGAAAAACCTGTAAAATATATGAATCCACAGCTTTTCCTCTTCTAATTATTTCATGACTAATATAGACTACATGTGGAGCTTGTCTTTGCAAGGGATGTATGGAAAACAAATCCCAAATTGGGCTATCCATAATAGTCCCACTAACCACCTATATAATATTAAAATTGGGACCCTTATGGTTCTTGATGTACTGTATAACTTAAAATAATTTTCTTAATATCCATTTGAACTTTACCTGATTTAGTCAACTGCCATAACAACTGCCTCTTATCTAATGACTGCTGGTGAAAGCCTCCTGTGACATTCCAAGATAAGCAGGAATAAAACAATAGAAGGATGAATAAATACATGGATGGATGGATTTATGGATGCAACCCAATTGGGATGCATAGATGTAGTATTTTATGCACTATGACTTAATATCCATTCAAATGGGGCAAACATACACATTTTAGCTGCCCATGAAGCAAAATTAAAATATTATATGTCAAACTCTGTTAGTGATTACCTGGTGGGTGTTAATTAACTGGAAGAGGGGCACCTGACAAAAATTCTGTTCAGGGCCCCGTGTTATCTCGGTTCGGCTCTGGGTTTAACTGAAATCTGTGAGGCCTCGGTGACTTTCTATGATTATAACTGCTGTGATCGTCACAATATAAGACATTCTTATTATACTACAACGAAACTCAAGCAAAATTCATTTAAAGCACAATCCGACTGAAATAAGAGGAAAACACGTCAATAGTTAGGAGCCTATTTCTTCTTTTGTGTGTGTGTGTGTGTGTGTATGGGGGGAAACACAGGTTTGGTGTGCAGCAGGGACAGGTTAGGTCCGGTCAGTCGGCTCTGACAGAGGCATCAAAGGCAAACAACGCTGCAGGCCTGCAGAAGAAGGATGATGAACCGTGGTGATTTGTGCGCTAACCAGATAAGATGCCATTGTTTAGAGGGGGGGACGGACAGCGGACAGCTGCGCGACGTCTCATCGACACAACAAAAGCGCATCCCCATCACCACCTGCTTCGTTCAGCCCGTCAGCTCAAAACCCACCTCTCAAACACCAGCCGGATCATAAAGATGCAGAAAGCCAGTGGACAAGCCAGATAGAGATCCTCGGCTTGCGGGAACGTCGCCTCATCTGTGTTTTTTAAGTCAGCCCAGGTCACGTTATGGGGGAGCCAGAAGCGCTCGTTCCAGAACCACGCCAGAATCCCGGCCATCTCCCTGCAGCAAGACGCGATGGAGGAACGGAGGACTCGCTGCGTCTCGGAGGTCTCTGTCTGGGAGATCCGACTCGCCTGATGAAGAGATATATCCGTGTGCGGCTGCCGTCCGTCCGCTTCCCTTCATCTGTCCCAGTGTAGGGAAGTAGACTCAATCAGCTCCTCAGCAACTGATTGGTGCGTTCAAATGTCATGTAATAGCCCTGTCAGTGCGCGTAATAAAAATATAATACTACGGGTCCATCAATCTAAACCAATTGAAAAATAGAAAATGTCACAATGACGCTCAGGATGGGTTATTGCGTAGATGACGCGTACATTACTTCTTTTATAAGGCTCATTTGATGTGCAAGTCTACAACCTGCGATCACGTGCCTTCTGGGTCAAGGACTTAATGCAAAACATTCTTACAGTCAAACTCAACCGATTCTTTATCAAATTAAGCTAAATGCTGGACATGAGACCACAAAATGCAACAACACTGTTTAAATACAAAGAGTAACTTGTCAAATCCTGACACCTTCTGACCAATTTGAGGTAGTATCGCAGATATGGGTCAATTTTTAAATATTTTACATCAAGGTTTTCTGTTCAGCTCTTTCTGCTTGTTTCTTTTTTCTGTACTACTACTACTTATAATAATAATAATAATAATAATAATGACAATGATAATAATAGTATTTCAATCATGTTATAGCAGACTATGATAATTTCTGCTCAGTAAAATTTTGCATTTTTTGTTATTTCTTAAAAGTCACAATAATGTGATGATGCATATTTTGGTATTTATCCAGTGCTACGTAAATACAGGTCAAGTATCGCTGACACTGATACCAATACCAGTAGGAATCCCTGTACCAGTACCAACATCAATACCTATACCTATGTTTATTATTTAAGTATGATATATCACCATACTGAAAATACAAATTTTGTGGAGTTATGTGATGAGGAGTTTCTCTGATCAATAACGTTATTGATTTATGTACAACATTGGGACATAATAATCTGTGCGCATTGATTGGTTGCATTGATGGGTTAAGGAAACAAGCAGAAGAAGATCTAATTAAATTTCTTTGCAAGGCCGTGGTTATGGATAAATGTGTAAGTGCTTTTTTTTATTTGTTCATATTTTTGTGTCATGAAAGTGGTGTATTGGAGGTGATGAGGCAGGCGCTGGAGACCCAGGTAATGTGAATAGTGTAATTTAATAACAAAATACTCCACAAAAAACACAGTCAATAGACGTAGTCCGCGGCCAGGCAGCACGGCTGAGCGGAAACCAGGGCTCACGCCGGTAGCAACTGGTCTAACAGGCGGAAAACAAACGACGGCAGAAAATGACAAAATACTACAAACAACGACAATCTGACAAGGACCCGACGAGGAACAAAGGACACAGGAGGGACTAAATACACTGAGGGTAATCAGGGGAACAAGACACACCTGGGAACAATCAAGGGGAAGACAGGACAACGAGGAGACTCAGGACACAGAAACTCGGAATTAAAACAGAAAAACACAGAACCTGACATTTTGTATTTTGCTACAGGTTCCAGCTGGCAATTAGTAAATTATCAGATTCTTTTTATTTATTTATTTATTTTTTTACCAAAGTTAAAAACCTTTTTGTAAACTGTACTTGGATTGAAGAATAAATTGATTAAAACAGTTTTATTGTCAAAAAATAGTAGTATAGATATTTAATACTAGATTTTGTACAAGAAAATGAAACTGCAACTAAAGGAAAGATGTTAAGGAAAAAAGAAACAGTGCTTTTTATACTTTGACAAAAAATGTCCCTTTCTGTACTTCCAGGCTAATGTGATGTATCAGACAGTTGTCCACTGCAGAATGTAGTCTTTGGGACGATCGCGCCATCTTCTGGCCAACATTAGAATCAGGGATGGGAATTTCGGCATGGTGCCAGGATCCGCACCATTTATCTCCATTCACTGACCAAGTCTGTTCTAAATAAATAAAAAGAAGTCATAAATAACATAAAACATAAAGTAATCACGAACAACTACCACTGTAGACACAAACAGTCTAAAACATTTTGCCGTTGATTTTTTTTTCTTCCTACACCCTGTTGCATTATTTCTGTTCTAATCAAAATAAAACTTTGACAAAACTTTCAACTTAACACTCCGGCATTTAGGTAAATGTTTTTAAAAACTAATTGTAACATCAACATTTAACTGAAATAAAAGTGAACACAAAAACAAGTTTTAAATCTCATAATTATAATTTTGAATCGTTTGGATTGAATTTGAATATCACAATTGTGACTTTAAAAGCCAGTAACGGAAATGTCAAAAATTTGAATTATGACTTTGTGTGTCATATCTCACCTCGAAACTCAAAACTGGACTTTATATTTTACAATTACGTATTTTTGAATGCCACAATTATGTTTTTAGCTAATTATTATGACATGAACTGTGACATTTCAAACGACTGAAAACCTTAATCATAGAACACGAAATTATTGTCAAATAAAAAATAATTTATATATATATAAAAAAAATAATAATAATAAAACGACTGGTTTCTGATCTCTTCGTTCAGTCCTCTAAATGAACCGGCACACTGAGTCGGATCAGTCGCACCGGACACATTTCTGCTCAATGCGACTACATTAACTCGTCACACATACGTGTCAGTGTCACTAATTCTGAAAGCTGCCAAGCCATTTTATGTGATAATAATAAAATCTAATTAGGGATAATTTGTTTTTTAATAAGTTACTTAAGAACAATTGAGATCGTATTCATCACATCTTAATTCGTCCAAACAGATCCTGGTTTAGAATATTGTCTTCCTCTGTAGTGCCACTTCGTGTTGCGAACTGATAGTGCGCGCGCGCGCGCTTGTGTGGTTTGTGCCAGTGAGCGCGCGCGTGTCTCTCTCTGCGTGTGTGTTCCGTTATTTTCCGGGTTGTGCTCAGTCAGCCAGGCAGGGTCTGTGGTGGTTGTACCGCTGCAGCTGCCAGCTGACACTTCCACCGAGGAGAAGCTGAGGTCACACTCGGCTGTCTCTGTTTCTCTGTCTGTGACCGACGCTGCACATCATCACCACCATCATCATCATGGCGGATCAAGGCGAATCTCCGGTTCCTGTCCACCATCCACAACCTACCATCAGCTGGCCAATTACCAGGGAGTCCTACGAGCTGCAGGAAGTCATAGGTTAGTACCCGGAGAAACGGTGTTGTTGCGGTGAGGAGGCAGCCCTCGGTGGGCTATCTGTCGTGAGCGAAGGAAGAGGGGCCTACCGGCTTTTTTTTTTTTTTTTTTTTAATATATGCAGCAGCGTCCTCTGCTTTGCAATGCGGATGTTAACAGACACTGTCGGAGTCTACCGGTCTACAGTAGAGCTGCGCAGACAAGGCGGAATCAGTGTTTCTGCATGTGGTGTAAATGTCACATTGAATAGGCTACGTCCTCTTTCAGCGCGCACGGTTTAAACGCTAAACCACAAGTTTATTAGTTCTTGCTGAAATCACTGTTGCTGTGCCCTTCCTGAGCTGGCACGCGAGCGGAAATATGAAACAGATTGGAACTATCCCAGAATCAGTAATGTTCACGATGTACTTTTCGAAATGAACAACTACGTCAAAATTATCCGAAATGAGTAGGAACTTTCTTACTCTCAACTCAAAAAAAAAAAAGAAAAACATTTGAATTTGCTCTGCAACTACCGGTTTTTCACCGTCAGTCTTTTAAGGGAAACTCAAGTCAACTTTTGAAGAACAGAAAATCCCAAAATGTACAATATTATATTTTTGAACATTTGCAAGTATTCAAAACAATATGTGAACTGCAGTAAGTTTTCTTTTTAATAACTAGAATAATTGGTAAAAGTACTATATCTGCCCTCCCTCCTATACCTGCAAAAAGTTTGTCTAAAACTATACAAGTGCAAATGAAATAGCTCCTTCCATGTTTTTAAAGTTCAGGTCATTTTGTTCTCTGTGTTTCATTATATCTTGTGTTACAACTGTTGTTTATACATTCATAGCAACAACCATTATTTGTGTGACAAGTCATCTGCTCTATTATGTCATTCCCAAAGCATGTCATAACATAATTATGCTGTTGAACTGGCTATTTAGATACACACACAACCCCCTTTCCCCACTACAGCCCTTGACTATTTGACAATCAGACTAAATGTTTCATGTTTTAGGTCAATGACAATTACACGGTGTATGCATACCTGTATATATAATATTTTGTATTGACTTTTGCGGGAGATGAATGGTAGAATAGTTGTCTATACAGTATGTCTTGAAAACATTTTGGTTTCCTTTTACTTTTGCAGCTAATTCAGCAATATGCTTACGTCATTGTCCATTTGAATGACCCTCTTGTACCCAACCTTTAACTTTTTGGTCTTGAGACTTGCAGAGTTTCACACTTCTCTGCCAGATGTCTGTGTATTTCCATTGACGTAAGACAAGGAAACAGTGTATTTGAGGTATTGCCTTAAAATAGACAGGTGTACCTATAGTCAGCTCAAAAGCCTTCAAAAGCCTCCATGACAACATAATCTGTCTAGAAGTTACAGGAATTGGAGAAAGCAAAATAAATTCTCCGTTTTTTTCCCCTCATTGTTCTGGTATTTAGCAAATTGAAATCATTTTGGAAATCCTACTTTACAGAAAAAGATTATCAGTTCAGATAAAGTCGGTTTCTTCTCTCCTTTGTTTTCTCATTTTTATGAGAAAACAATGTCTTGACCCTATTTTCGGTCATATGTCAATGTGAAAACTGGTATAAAGGGATGCCATCTAACAGGTCAAAGTATTTATAGACATTGAAAGTTAGAATTTCTGACATTTGCAATGTGTCAATACATTTCGAACAGCCCTCTGCTACATCTACACTGCACACTCTGATATTGCTGTGACCATATCTTCAGGTGGATGGTTTTTTTTTTTGTGTGTTTCTTGAGCTTCACCTACTTTCTACAGCAAACCTCTGATGCCTTTACTGAACAACTAGATTCATACTGAAGCTAGACTACACTTATGTGAACTAGTTATTTATTAGTTGACTTCTGAAAGGAACTGATTGCTCCAAATTTATTTGGAGTATTGCATTAAAATGGGACAAGTTAATATTTCTGCTACACTGTTCAGATTTAATTTAAGAAAAGAAATTGAAAAATGTGTATTCTGTACACAATTCTGCACTACTTTTTATTGGTTTATAATATGAAATCCAGATAAAACGTGTGAAAGTCTGTGGTAATATTTGTTAAAATGTGGGGAATTGTTTAAGAGTTAGTTGTTTTCACAATCAGCAGTCCCATCTCACATGACATAAAGCATGCCTTATCTGCCAGTAACAGTTGGCAGTGTGCCTTATGTCTCAGCAATTATATGTCGTCGTGTGATCGTGTTTGAAAAGAGTGATGCACTCTGCTTGCATTTACTCCAGTTGTCACAGACGAAACACAAAAGCTGTTACCTAAACACAAATGCCTCAGAGGGATGTTGAAATGTAAAGTCCTCCAGCTGTGCATGTGACGCTAGTCCCTCTTGACTCATATCCCCCTGTGCTGATGCTGATGTGTGGCTGTGATTCCAGGCAGTGGGGCCACAGCTGTGGTGCAGGCAGCCCTCTGTACCCCCAGACAAGAGCGCGTGGCCATAAAGAGGATCAACCTGGAAAAATGCCAGACCAGCATGGATGAGCTGTTGGTGAGCACATTTAATATGGGCTATTTTCTCAGCCTTGTGCTTTACACCACTCTCTAATGATTTGTTGCTACATTACCACTGATAGCTTTAAAGTTACACACATTTCTACGGTTAACATGACTCCTTAGGGATAAAATGTTTTGATTTTTTAAAATGTAAAGTGTCGTGCAAATGTTCTATATCTACAGAAAGAAATTCAAGCCATGAGTCAATGCAGCCACCCAAACATCGTCACCTACTACACTTCCTTTGTTGTGAAGGATGAACTTTGGTTGGTGATGAAGCTCCTGAGTGGAGGTGAGTTTAGTATGATGTAAAGTTAATAATACCAGACATGCAGCAACGAAAAGTTGACATTCAGCTTTTCATTGCTGCATTGTATATCATTAATATAACTGATTTTCTCAAATCAGTGATCGGTGGGTAGAATACTAAAAAATAAATCAGATTTACTTTTTTCTCCTGTTCATTAAATATACCACAATAAGATCTTTGTTACAGACTCATTCTGGCATTTTGTTGATTGTAACTTTCAGAATAAAAATCCAAAATAAAATTTTGAATAAAATTTTAATATTACATGAGACAAATAGAAAAGTAAGTGATTAATAATGAATTCTTATGTATGTTATGTATGGCTATGTTCATGTACAATCATGAGGAAGAGTTAGAGTTAAGGTTATAAAGAGGCTTCACTTATCCATTTTCCAGGAGTCTGGAGCGTAAGGCACAAAGGGATATTGCTAAAGAAGTTAGTTGTTCACAAAATGCTTTGTTCAGAAATATTAAAGGGAAGTGTAGTGGAAGGAAAAGCTGTGATAGTTATGGGTGGAGGAGCAGTAGGAATAATGCAGCCTTAAGAGGACTGTGAAGCAGAGTCTATTGAAGGGATTGGGTGATACTCACCAGAGTTCAGTTCTGTAGAATCCACTATACATACGGCTACACATCTGTCTAAAGGCATAACATAACATTTCTATATCAAAAAACCTTAGTTTCCAGTTATATTCAAACTGTCTGGGAAGGTGTTTTGGATTTTCATTGTCTTCCATATTCATCAATATCAACAGTAAGGAATGCTTTATATGTATAACCTTGTCTATAAGTAATTTATATAACATGAGTGAAATTAAACCTTTGTAGGAAATTCGTATTTGTTGAGATGCACCAGAATTTGCTATAATACCACAGACTCATCAGGCTCAATTGTAAATTGATTCCAACAAGATCTGCTGTAATGTATTGTACCGTTGTTTTTTGTCTGTTTAATATATATGCTTAAAAATGAGAGAAATGCCTTTTTTTGTGCCTGATGTTATTTAGGCTCCATGCTGGATATAATTAAACATGCGAGCAAAGAAGAAGATAAAAGTCTTCGAGCATTAGATGAGCCAATTATTGCCACAATATTAAAAGAAGTTCTAGAGGGCCTGGACTATCTCCACAGAAATGGACAGATTCACAGGTAACACTTTTGGTTTCTGTTCATTATTTCTAATATGAAGATATTTAATTATGAAAAACTATCATTGAAAAAATATATTTGTGAAACAAGTACTTGTTTTGCGAGAGCACACATTCCCATGTAAAACCCTGAAATAATGACCGAATGAAGCAAGCTGCCAAAGTAAAATCCTAAAGTGAAAGTTCTTTGTGTTCTGTACACGTCCTTGATTTCAAGGTCAGTGTGAATATGGAGCGTAAACCTCTATGAGCCCCTCGGGCACAGTTCTAGATAGTGATAGTCAATGGGATCTGTCAACATGAATGGAAGAATTGATGTTGTCCCACGTGACTTTGATGTTTTACTCCATTATTGTTTTGCTGACCTCAGGGATGTGAAAGCTGGGAACATCTTACTGGGAGAAGATGGGTCTGTTCAGATTGCAGGTTTGTTACCTTATCACACTCTCTTCTGCTTTTTTTCATTTTAAAGAACCAATGTTGTCCCAATTTAAAGGTTACAGCATTATTTTCTGGTCTCTGCTGTAACACACTGGCGTACTTTAGCCATATTTTTTTTGTAATGTTCTTTTACATTTTGTATTTGCATAACCTTGACTGAATTTATGCAAATAAAAAAAACTGTCCAAATTGTGTATTATTGGGTAAGTTTTACTCATTAATTTATTTGTCTTTTATTGAAAAAAATGGAGGCTGACTGATTGGACGATTTGTTTGAACCATACAAAAACAAAGAAAGTTGGAAGTGTTTAAGACTGATGCGTTTTAATTATTGGTACTGTTTTAAGCAAAATATTTTTAGCTTGGAGAATTTTTTTAATATGACCCTCAAATTTGCAATGACATTTTTATGATGGTAGCCACTATGATTATGTTTTGTTACTACAGATTTTGGTGTAAGCGCATTTTTAGCTGCGGGGGGCGACATGACGAGGCACAAAGTTCGAAAGACTTTTGTTGGGACGCCGTGCTGGATGGCTCCAGAGGTGATGGAACAGGTAAGTCTTTTGTACTTTTCAATTATTCCTCTATTTGGAGATACAGATTTATACAAGCATCATCCTTATTATAGCCATTTTCTTACTTGTTAAACATACATTTAGAGATCTCAGAGACACACATATTAAGTCAATGTTTAAGTTTTTCTGTGAAACAAAAGTAAATTAAATAAAAAAGTATTAGTTATTACTGGAAATACAAATGTAAAAACAATGTGGAAATCTAAATAATTAAATAACAGCTGCAAAGTGTATGATCTGTATAAAATTATTTTTTACAAATTAAATTTTTTTAGTTCCATTTATTTTTTAATAGAAATTGTTACTGGTTCAGATAAATATGCTGATGTAGTTAAGAATTCTTTTAGTGTAAAATTATGCAACAATATTCACCTAAAGCTGTTTTACATAATTTTACTTGGTATTCCAATGAATTTAGAGGATGTCGTAAGCTCCAGATGCTTTCATTATGTTCTATATTAGTTATATTCATCACTTATCACAAAACATAAATCCTCTGAGCCTTGCATAAGTATGTCTTAATGTCTTTTATAACTCCATGTCTGCAGGTTCGAGGCTATGATTTCAAAGCAGATATGTGGAGTTTTGGAATTACAGCGATAGAGTTAGCAACAGGTTCTGCACCCTATCACAGATACCCTCCAATGAAGGTAAGTGTTCAGGACAAAAACAATTAAATAAAATATTTGCATGGAGTCAGTTAGATAGAAATACCATAACAAGGAACTTTGAAATACATTCTGGTCTAATTTCTGTCCAAATCAGTCCAATAACACCCAGTCTCATGCTCAAATTTATATTCAGTAACATATAATCCAAGTCAATTCTAGTTGTACTGAGAAAGCTCAAGCAAGTGAAATAAGTAGTTGAAATTGCAACAATCAATTTTCCTTCTTAAAATCCAAACATCTAAAAAGACATAATATGTTTGCCTCCTTTACTTTCCCTCTTTTCCCTCCATCCCCATTGTATTTTGATAGTGCTGCTTGGATGTCTGGGTGTTTTTTGACTGTTTTTGTTTGTGCTTTCAGGTTTTAATGCTTACCTTACAGAATGATCCGCCCACTCTAGAGACAGGTATTGAGGACAAGGAAATGCTCAAAAAATATGGAAAATCTTTTCGAAAGCTTATAACTACGTGCCTTCAGAAAGACCCTGCAAAAAGGTTGGTGCCACAACATATGGATGAGCATGGAGCTGAAGCAGTTTGCACTAAATAATGATTTAACTTTTAGATAGTGCTCCAGACAGGCATAATCATGACTCTTGTTTTCCCCTTTAACTTGTAAGAGTTTCTTAAGTTTTTCCTTGATGTGTGTATTTGTTACTGTAGCATTTATATCCTATATCTAGAGAACGTTTTCTGCACATGTTCGATTATTTGAGCTTGACTCTTTTTTGTAATTTTTTTCCAATGGCATTTTCACTTTGTTTTGTCTGTAGGCCTACAGCCTCTGAGCTTTTGAAGTGTAAATTCATCCAAAAGGCAAAGGTATTTCTTTAATCTTAAATATTTGCTGCGCTGTCTTTGTTTGGTTTTATTAACATTTGATGACTTGAAGCCATATTCGATTCTATAGATTATTTTCATACACACAAAACACATTATTAAGATTTATGAGTCATAACAAAATCAGACATTGAGGTGTAGCTGACTTTTTATGTAAACCAGACCATTTTTAGATGACCATAGATTCAATCATGTCACTGATTTTGTTTTGGTAAATAATAAAGAAGGGGAGGTAAGAAAGGCACATCTCAACAAAAGTAAAAAATTATCAGATTTTAATTCAATTCCAAATCTGAAATTTGTATAGATTATTTGCTCAGAGTTTTGTATTTTCCACAGAAGCTGATCAATATCACAAGTTTAGTGAATTTGCAGGGTTGGCAGCATGATAGGCCAGTGATTATCAGCTTTGTCTTACAGATAGAATCTCTGCACTGTGTTTCTTTTCCTTCTGTTGCATTTACAACAGAAGGAAATCCAGATATATATACATCATAAAAAAAGTTTTAAGTTATTGCTAAATATTTTCCTCTTTAACATATACAATACTTTTCAGATTTATTGAATTAGGATTTTAAGAATATGCTTTCACAGTATTTGTTCTTAAGTCTTACTGATTTACTTGTCATGAATACTTTCTTATGCCTGATCCAATGTTTGCGAGTATGGGAAGGACCGTGTTTAAATTACAAGCCATTTGTGGTTTGCATGGCATTATTCATCTTTGATGATTTTAAATTTTCTTTACTTTGTTCATCTTTTCCTGCAGAACAGAGAATATCTTATTGAAAAGCTTTTGAGTCGTGCACCAAAGATATCTCAAAGAGCAAAGAAGGTATGTTTATGTAATTTTTTGCCCTCTGCAATAACAGTTATTGGTTAAACATAAAAAAAAAATCTTGTGGATGGATGGACTGCTTTCAGTCCATGATGTTAAATTTACAGTCAACACAACGTATGCACTCTGTCTTCTTTTAGTACCTCCAACAACTTTTACCCCTATGTATAGACTATATAAAAATGTGGGCCACAGTCGCATAAGAGTCATGCTGTGCAGATCCACTGACCCATGTGTTATTATGACTTTAAGAGCAGCTTCCTGCGTATGTCAAGACAAACCTGGATAAATGGATTGTTAACATAAGTTAGCAAAACTGTTATGGTGAACAGGGAGGAAGTGCAGTTTTTCAGGCACAGCTGATGTTCGCTTTACATAATAATCCCCTGATGCCCAAGTCTGAGGCAGGATCAGAGGGAAGGGTGGCTGAGTGGAGGGGTGGAAATTCACTGACATGGTTCAGTCTAAATAGAGGGCATAGTAGACAGGACAAGCATTAATGTTCATGACCTTATAATTACGCACAAACGGGGTAGGGTGGCATAATGTTGATGGTTTATGTGTGAACTACAGACAGACTTTCAGTGCCAATAACAGAGGGAAAGGGTACAGGCTGCTCTGTCATTCAGGAGTTCTATAGCAAACCCAGGCAGCATGCTTTACTGATTTGCTGTCATGCAGTTATGTAAAATTAGAAGTAAAACAAGCTTCAGCATTGTGAATTTGGAGAGTATTACCGTACTATAACATTATAACAAAACTACTTTTTTCAGAATGGATAATTGGGAAAAATTTATTTTAGCATGTTCCTTAATGTCTACATTGCTTTTTAGATGTCTTAAAGGAATAGTTCTAGAATTTTGAACTGAGGCTCTATTAAAAGGGGTCAGAATATTATGTAAGACTGACCTTTTTTTAGCTTTAGGATTGAAAGACTTCTTTGATCCCTCTTGAATTTGGTATAAAATTCAGCCTCCAATAATTTGGATTTATTCTAAATGAAGATAAAATTAGAACTATTTATTGTATGTAAAATATTATCCGTTTATAATTTTTCAGCAGAATTGTGCTTCTGAATTATTTTAAACTATCCCTTTACTATTGATAATATTGGTTTCTAAAGGTCTTTTTAAGTTTTCTTTTAGATTTGGCTGCTTTGTTTTTATATTTTGTGACCTATCCAGTATAATATGTTTGTTATATGAGTCATTTCAGTCTGTTCTACGAATAATGCAAACATAAAAAAATATTTTGAACTAGTGTGATGAACCGCTTTTTTGTCTAAATATAAAACACATCATTGCAAAACCAAATTTTAAATTTGCTCTTTAAGCACTTTCTTTTTCACAACCTGTTGAAAACTCAGGCTTGGTTCCCCTTTCTTGAGTTGAGTATGAAACCTGCTAAAGATGCAGTACATATTTAGCTTGGATCTGTGGTGCCCATATATGGCTCTCAGGACCCACTTTCCTGCGTGTTTTAGATGTGCCCTCTCTCCAGCTAACTTGACTGAAACAACTGCATTACTTGTTCTGAATTCAATCAAGTTCTCCAAGGTTAAGGACCTCTGCACTAGACTGATAAAATGAAGCATGATGCATGTCCGGTGCCAGGTTTTCTGTGAAACATGTTCCTTTATTCTAAAAACATGACTTTAATATACTGTTTATCTGCAGTGAATTTTTTTAGGCCTGCTACTTCTCCTTTTGTTTTTGAGTCGTTCCCATTTTTTAAGTATACACTACATGACAATACACATAATTAGTTCCATGGACTGGATAAATGGTTGAAAAGAATGTAATTTAAAACTTTCCCTCAATGTTGTAAAAATGTGCAACATGAAATACAAAGTTGAAGTAAGGCCTGATGACGTTGGCTGTAGAAAATTTGCAGCAGAGCACGGATTTTGCACGGATTTGACCTACAGAGTCTACAACATTAGAAGCTCAGCAACATTATCCAAAACCTGCGGATACAAGCAGTACTCCAGAAACACAACCACCTCAGGATATTGTGACCTTAGCTGCACCCAAACATCACTGTTCAGCTCCTCTCTTTGCACAACCTCCTTAAGTCTCTTGACCTTCTTGATCTGCAGCATTTTCCCACTGACCTATTGCAACCCTTGTTGCTTGGCACTCAGTTTTTCTTTTCTTTTTCTTTGTGTGAAATTTGGTAGTCATGGTAAAAATATTGACATATCTAGGAAACAAATACTGATAGAGTTTAAAATAAAAAGGCTGGAAATGCATATCAGGCACACCTTCTCATTTTACAAGGGAATGAGAAGGAGATGGCAGATTCTTTCATCAGGAAAGTAATCACAGATGGTATCTAACAAATGAAATGAAAACTAGAAAAATAAAAAAAAATCAAATTTGTGGAAATATTGGATAATTTAGGTAGAACAAAGCAAGTATTTGTTGCATACTAAATTTGATTGTTAATAAAAAAAAAAGATTATGTTCACTAAGGTAGGTAGTTATGATTCGAAGAACCAATATTACCAGCAGATGGCGCTCTAATACACACAATAAATACTTCAGGATACCTTGGTGGATCAGTTGTCAATGTAAAATATTGAAACCAATGTGGATTTTAATTATTGATTTAGCACATGCAAAATACAAGCTGAACAAACAGAAAATAGATTTATATTGAGTTCAATTTTATGATCCAGTGGACACATAATGATCAAAAAGTTATTGAATTCTGTAATGATGTGTTCTAAATGGTAATTTTCAGAAGAGCTATTAATAAAGAACGTGGAGAAGTTGTGGCCTCTGAAAACATCCAAATCTGCCTGTTGCTTGAGCAGGTTTGGCTTCTGCCTGAATTCAATGTGTTTTGCTAAAGGACCCTGCGCAGAACTGGGAAAGCCTTTGTTCTCAGTCAGATTTGGAAGGTAAACCTGACACCAGCTGGAAGGGTAGTGCTGCTTTAACTCTGACCTCGACTAAAGCCGAGGGGAATTTATGGTACTGGCTGCTCACAGATCTCTGTCAGATCTGTGTTGTCTCTTCCGTAATACTTTGGAGTTGAGCTCATCTCAGTCTTACAAACTGTCCCAATTTGGGGGGCATTTAGTGTGGCTTTGAATAGCTAATTTTCATGTAAAGCTCTGTAATGTTTGATTAAACAGCTTTACATAGAGTGACTTTGCAAAACTATTCATACCCCATGAACATTTTTGGTACAATCATAAACAACAACCTATTTAATTTCAAGATTTTTTTTGTCATATATCAGTAATAATAATAACCATAAACTTTATAAGGAAATTGCAATAAATATTGTGTGGTTTTCAAATCTGAACAGAATGGTGGGCATTTTTTTCTAACCTGCTTCAAATATATAAAATAAAATTCAGTGCAACCAACTTCGTTCAGAACTTATCTAATAAATTGATTAGATAACTCCTAACTACCATTTCCACTCAGTTAAAATTTAGCATTTCCATTCAGCGCTCAGGGGCTTGTTAGCGAACAGCAGTGAAAAGCAATGTTAGTCCTATAAAATATTTGGAAAAGTTTACGGAGCTCAACTGTAAAAAAATTAGAAAAATATGGTGCAACTGCAAACCTACTCGGTCTAAATTAATAGACCGAGCTAGTGAGCATTATTCAGATTTACCACCAAAAGGCAGCTGATAATTCTGGAACAGCTGCAGAGATCCACAGCTCAGGTAGGAGAAACTGTTGCTTGCACTCCACAAATTTGACCTTTATAGAAGAGTGGCACAAAAACCATTACAAAGTGATTCAAAGTTGATGGCTAAATCCAATTAAAATTTCCGTCTTAAAAATCATGTTCACATGTATGTTATCTACTATATTTTAGAAAGTAGAATTGACGCAAATGTTCAATCACTAGTTGCGCAAAGCTGATACAGTTAAACAATTAATCTGGAAAGAATTCACAGATATTCACTTGTTCTACATTTGCTAAGTTGCTGTGTCATTCAAAAGTCGTATTAGATAAACCTTTATATGTGTAATTTATGTGTATTTATACACATAAATACCTCATTATGACAGTGTAAAAAAGTTTGGGATTTTTACAAATGTATTAAAAATTGAAAACCAAGAACAAAATTCAGAAAAAAGTCATGTTCTATGAATACTTTTCAGATGTGCTATATCCCAAAGACTTGCAGATGCAAACGAGGATAAATGTGTTTAATTATTTTTATTTGTAAATCATTCATCACTCTCAATCTGCTTCACATGCTCTACTTCTTGTTAATTTAACATCTAAAATTCCCGCAACATGTAAGTTTGTGATAAAGGTGAACGAGGCATCAATACTTTCGCAGACGTACAAGTTTAAGTAAAATACATTATAGGTAAATCAAAGTGACCTTGTGGACTCAAATAAAAAAACAAAACAAAAAAAGCAAGACACGTGTAACATTAATGTTTGTCATGCTGGTGAAGGTGAGGAGAGTCCCAGGCTCCAGTGGCCATCTGCACAAGACAGTAGACGGGGACTGGGAATGGAGCGACGACGAACTGGATGAGGGCAGTGAGGAGGGTAAAGCAGCAGTGAATCAGGGCAGGGTAAGTGAGGCATTACAAATACATTGTATTTTTTTCAGAAACAAGACAGATTTACTGCTTTAACACAGTTGTTTTAAAATATTCAGGGTTACTCAGGTGTTTTATGGGAAGCATAAACCAGCATGAATCCTCCCCCTCTGTTTGTGACAGTGCTCTTTCCTCCCCTCCTGGATCAGTTGGTTTTGTAGACATTAGAGGGTTGTATAAGGTTCACTGTAGTGAGCAGGGAGATCTATGTGAGAGGTGGAGGAAGGAGAAAGTGAAGTGTATTGATCAAAGAACCCTTTGATAAATGTGTTATGGTAAAGAGACATTATGTATTATACAATAAATAACATTTGTAATTATTTTAAAAAAATAATTACTGCCGATAGAATATCATTTAAGTTTTCTTTTAGTTGACTCTGGTAGATTGCTTTTAAAGAGTTTGGAAGCAGATTTGAACATGTGAATGAAATGTAAAACTATATAAAAAAATGAATGAAGTGACTGAAATTGATTATTTTATTACTCTATTATTAAGATTATTAATTACACAGATGAATGTGTAAACATGTTTTTTTTTTTTTTCCAGTCACGAAGGGTCAAATATGAGGCCAAAGACGTAAGTGAGATTCTCATCTCATTTATTATTTAAGGAAGAGTATTACTACTTACAAAATTTATAAACCTTTTTGATAAAGAAGCAATTAGGTAAATAGTTTAATGTACAGGTTTGGCTCCATGATAATTAGAAAACCAGATAAAATGCAATTATTTCAAAATGTTTTGTAAAAATCACAAGTTACTAATTTAGTGCATATTATATTTTTTGTGACAATGTATTAAAGTTAGCCAATGTTTTTTTTTTATTCGCTCTTTTCTGTTTTTCTCCCAAGATGATTTTAAAATTCGTAATTTGCGCAATCATGCCTCTCAATTTCTTCCTCATAGAATGAGGAAGATGCCAACAATGTCCCTATAGAAGGCTTGTCTGTACAGCATCCCCAGGTGAGGGATTCTGCAGAAGCAGCGCTAATTTGTCATGATTCAATGACCTTGATGCTGCAATGATTGTCTGCGTGTGCATAATGTACATGTGCAGCTGGCGCTATGTGTGTGTGTGCGTGTATGTGTAAATGTGAGAGTGTCTGTCTCCAGGATGGATGCTCTCAGCAGTAATAACTCACAGTAAATGGTTGCTTGCCTGACAGTGCCAGCTCAGTGGATAGGTGTATCTACCCTCAAGACTTACTGCCACTGTTACTCATTTTCCAAAATCTATTGTCATTGGGAAAGTGAACCAGAGCATTTTTGGGGTTGTCTTATGTCCCACTTAGAAATGATCTCAGAAGACATTTTTTAATCAAATTATCAAGTCTTTCTGACATAAAAGACCTATAATGTAGCAATATAATAATTGTAATTATATAGACAAATAATATATTACACCTTTATTTATTGTTCCTTTGCTTTTCCTCTTACTTTCCCAACTTTCCCTACAGATTAGATAAAGGGATTCAGTCATGCATTGCATTATAGATTCAGCTCTGCACACATTCTGAATTTATTCTGATTACATGCTCCTTTTTCACTGCAGGGCATGATGTTTTTGTCTATGTTGAAACTGCATGAAAATGGGTAAACTGATTCATGCAGTTCATTCCCTGGTATTTTCGATGCAGGTGGAACCATATGAGAATACACCCTTCATTCAAGGTGCTGTGAACATGGTACTACGGCTACGGTAAGGCTGAACATAGTTTCCTACATTGCTCACATACCAAAGAACATTCAGTATGTTCTAAAAGTATTCACTCCTCTTATCTTTTTTAAATTTCGTAATTTTTACATAAAAGATTTTGTATATTTTATGGGGGATTTAAGTGACCGGCTAACCCAAAGTGGTGTTAAATTGTAAAGTGGAAGAAAAATAATTGTTTTCAAATTGTATAATGTGAAAAGCTCTGGGATGTAATTTTTCAAGGTGATTTAGATAAAGTCACTATTATTTCTTTATTTTCACTGGAGCAGAACAGATAAATCTGTTCTTCTTTGCATGAAGGAATTTGTACAGGTCACTTGATTTTACCTGCAGCGTTTGGTGACTTCTTCTGCTACAATCTTTTTTCAAAGACTTTATTGTTAAGAAGCACAGTGACATGAAGAAGTTAAGTCTTGTTGTTCAGCTAAAAATATGAATTCAGATACTCAACTATTGTCAAATGACAATATTTATTAGCTGAATTTGAAAGAGATGAAAGTCAAAATGAGATTGAGCTTTTCATCATATTAGTGTGCTTTCTATTACTCTGTTGATGATTCAAAAATGTTAGAGATATAAAAAAGAACTGGACTCAAGATGTGCAGAAATGGACAACCATTTATAGGTTTTTTGATATTTCAGAGTTTGTGGCTCCCCAGTGAGGTGGTGTCCAAGTGCTGATTTGCTCATGCAGACATCTGAAGGCCCCCCGTCAGGCTTCAAGAACAAAACATAGGTCCAAAAACAACAGGTGGTAGTGAACTGTTTACTGCAGAGTAGTCAGAAGGGCTTTGATGTGTTTGGCTCTCTGTCCTTCAGCTCTGTAAAGTACAGAGATTTTGCCTACTAGTACTCATACAACCATATAGATAATCAGCACAACAAATAGAATCAATGCAAAATGCATTTAATGTCTTTGACGAGCTACATTAACTTAACATAGCTACTGTCTGCTATAAATATTTCTGCAAATACTGTAAATAAAAATGGTAAAATCTAATGACATTTCAATAGACGAGCTACACTGATACACTGAAAGACAGCAAAAGAAAAAAAAACTGTGGAACAAGTATAATCTTTTCTCTGACTGGATCCCACAGGGCTTCCCCATGGTTGCAAAAAAGGTGGTGATTCATAATTTTGATAAAGTCTGCTAATAAAAAATTTATTTGAAGAACATATATTTTCAAAAAGTGGATCCTAAACAATAAAAAAAAATAGCTTGAGCATTTTATAAAAGGACAAGCATTAAATGAGTGAATTCATGAGATAAGAATAAACATCTAATTTGTTCTTCTCAGGCAAGAAAAGTTGAAAGCTGATTAGCATGGGGTTATAGTAATGAGATTCCCTCTGAAGCAAATAGTTAGTAATTGGAACAGTCTGATTATTTTTAGTCATGTTTTTAGAAAAAGTATGGAGGAGTTTAGAAAAAAGAACTACAAGCAGTCTACAGTATAAATGAATGTATGCACATGCATATGTCAAAATGCTTATATTAATACATATTAATAAAAGTAAACTGAAGTCTACTGATAATATTAAAAAAAGACAGGATCAACTGAGATAAAAATGACATATCCATGTTTCTTTATAAGCTTCTCACATGAAATCCAGACTTACATAAATGTCAGCTGTTCTGAAACATGGTGCTAATATTGAATTTTGGAGAAATATTAGTATTTAGTCTCAGGGAGTTTGTCTGCAGTTGTTTCTGTAAAGATTATATTAATAAACTTTTATATTCTGCACAGCCATCCCAAGCTGCATACAGATTGACGAGAAAGTAATTGCTTTCCAGTTATTTACTTAAATGGAGCTGTTATTAGCTCCATTTAAGAGAAAAATGGAGATAATTTTATTTGCTCCATTTACCCTTTTAACAGGATAAAGTTAAATCATTGAGATGGAGGAAGAAATCTAAAAATTAATTTGGGGCTCTGTAAAACTGGGACAAGACTATTTACAATTTTATGAGAGACGTAGATATTAAATAATAAATTTGTTGATTGTAACTCTAAGAGTGATAAATTGCATGTAGTTCCTCAAATATTTAAAACATTGTGTGTGTCTTGAGTTGTGGCTTAAAGTTCCTCACAAATGTGACATATGGGTTTGCAGAGTGGTTTACATAACTGGACTGGAAACCAAATTAATCTTTGGTTTTCAACAATATCAGTTCCTGCCTGCCCCATAAAACAGAGGGTCGCAGAACACGAAAACATTTTCTCAGATTCGTACAGCAGTACTACGTGATCTGCACAGAGAAAAGTTTAAAAATATTTTACTTTGTTCTTCTATTGGAATATTGTATAAAGGCTTGACATTCTTTTGCAACATCATACCACACATGCATGAGTGATGCATGGTTGATGGAGATAATAGGCAATTAGACAGCTGCTACCTTAGTATTTGTATCACTATATCGGAATTAAATTAATGAGCTGCTCTACACAGTTTGCTCGTTGACAACATTCTATTTTTCCTCTGAAGTTGTGCCTTTATGGTAAATTTAATTATTTCCCTAATGAAGCTTGTTTACAATCATTGTGACAGATAGTCTTCCTTCAGCACCTATATTCATTACACCGTTCAATGTGAAAATTGTTATCTAAAGGTCAGATTGTGATGTTATTGGTAATGACAAAACTTCACAGGATTATCACTCATCTTTATTGTCATCCTCCCAACGGAGTGTTTGAACACCTGCGTGATGTTCTCATTTCAGAGCCCTCCTCTTTGTTATAAAAAAGAGAGAAATCTTGTCTCTCTGTTGTTTTCTCTCCCAACATTGAGAGAAAAAAGATTAACAACTGGAATGTGAATATTGTGCTACACTGAATAATGACAGAGACATAAAGTCCTCCAAAGGTTTGGAGGCCAAATCAAAGTAAAAATGAGCTACTGTATTTTTTTTAGGATATCACAAACAATATTTTAACATTGATAAGTATTAGACTGAATAAAAATATATTTACCTACACAACAATGAACTCAAGAAGCAACATTGTTGTTCAGACATCAACAAGGATGAAATTAGTCTGAGATACATTTTTGTGGTAATCGCTTTCATTACTGCAACAGTGTCTTCAAGGTACAAACTTTTGATTACCTTAATTGGATGGTTTATAGATGCAGTAAAGAGGCAGAAATAACCTCTGCCATTTTGCTGACAGTTTTGAGCATCTTTTATCTTTTGTTGGTGTTCAAAGAGATGCCTGAGTAAACATGGGGAACATTAAGATTTACATGACATTTTACTATATGGTTATCACAGCAATTAGAGTGGTCTACAAAACTCCATAAATGATTACAGTAACACAACAATAAAAATTTCCTTGAGTATTCAAACAGGACGCCAACATTTCCAGATCCTGTATAGCCCATAGATTTTGAAAACCAAATACATCAACATAAAATAACTTTCTGTTTTCTTATTAGCTTCACTGACAGTTGTTGCTACAATGTTACATTCTCCACAGTTTTAATCACTGACACAATCACTGCTCTGAATGTTTGCGCAAGACACATAAACGCCTATCTTGTTTCTTACTCTTCTCAACTAAAATGTATCTCAAGCACAACACACAGCAAAATATTCTCTGTACCAGAAAGCAATCTCACAAATTCATAAAATAAATCTACTGATATATTTTCTGCATAAGTCCATGTGAATTGTATAAGCTCACTTTCTATATTGTATTTCTTAAATGTTCAACAAGTCAGCCAGAAAGTTACCTGCAGGAGCAGAGGACGATGGGATTTAGATTACTATCCTGAGGTCAATATCTGATTAAAGAATAATGTAACTAGTTTGACTACTTACCTAATGTGGGTAGAAACATACCAGATCATCTCTGAAGATGAGAAAAGTGTTTTCAACAATGCTTTCACACTTGTATTTAGCACTATTAGAACATGATCAACTTGCTCAGGATGGGTTTTAGTGCCAAGTGAATGGAGGCAGAGAAAACCATATAACACTTTCTTCTGCTGTCTCATTAAAGAAGGTGGTAAACTGTAGGAACATTGTAATGAACTATAGAAGCAGTTTAGAAATAGTAACCTTGTAAAAGCTTGATATATGTTAATACTGAAAACCAGCCGATGTTGACTGAGTCTGAAGCCTGATTAGAAGGTAAAAGAAGATTTGCCAGACTACTGATCACATTTTTCTGTCTCTGCTCTGAACAAAATATGACTGAATCATCTGCTTCAAGCATGTGGCTTTGTGTTTCTAAACCTTTTTTCTGCTGTAGTTTCTAATCCTATTATCTGTGCAACCAGACATGATCTCCTGTTTGTTCCCTAACCTTCAGCTGCCCAGTCATGTTTCATTCCAGGCGCAACCCAGTGGCTCATGTCCCCATTGTCTTCCCTTTCAGGAACTCCAAAAAGGAGCTAAATGACATTCGGTTTGAGTTCACCCCTGGGCGAGGTAAGAGCTCAGTCTAAATTATTTTTTCTAAATTTCACTTTTCTTTGTAATAACATTCTCTCTCTCTCCTTATTGATACATGTGTGTAATAGGCAATATCATTGTGCTGTGGGCAGCATCTAATTTTGTGTGTAACACAATTACCTGCCAAGTGGAATGATGCAAGCCAAATGTTTTTCATGTTATTCCCTCACAAGACACTGCTGATGGCGTCTCCCAGGAGCTTTACTCAGCCGGTCTGGTGAATGGACTCGATGTCTTAATTGGTAATGTCACACCTCTTTGTCTTCAATAAATTGTGTTATTCTGCAGTTCATGAATCCAGTTCACTGTGACACATTTGTAAAAACTGTTTGTTATGATAAGCAGTATTAACAAAGAGGCTAAAACAATTAAAGGGAGTAATTTAAAAAAAAAATCCTTTCCACAATTATCTTTTTTCCAAGTTCATGTAGTTTCACCATGATAAGGTATTGTACTTAAATCGCTCCTTTGTTTTACTTAAACAGTGAAAAAAAAGATGCTACATCAAATTATTGGTAAAAGAAAGTATTTTCTTACCTGTTTAACTTGCTCATAAACAACTAACTATGCTTATAAACAATAAATGTGATCATGATAATCTGGTAGTTGACTTTACTTGAGCTATTGATATTAGTTGTGAGATAAACTGTGTTGTGTCCTTCTCCTTTAGCTTTGTATTATTGCTCTTTCTCAAAGTCGAGTTTCCAAATGTGTCCACTGCTTTTGATTGGCGAAGAGAAATATGTTCTCCTTAATTACAGTTACTTTGCAACTCTCCCACATTTCTTGCACAGACAGTCTTTGTAAAAAAGTGCTGTTCTACTCAACATATTTTAGTAAAAATGTCTTTTTTGTTTATGTATGTTAAAATGAGCTACAATGGATACTTTTGGATCTATTATGGACATACTGTGTCTTGCTGTTGTAGAGGGGATGACTCAAATGGCTCCATTTACTTTTGAAAAGTGCATAAAATACTCTATTAAAAACCAACAGGATGGAAGATTATTTTTTATTTAGCCTTTATGCTTTTAAAGTTTTTAGGTCTTCTGTTTCAAAATGTGATATTTGCTCTTTAAACTTCTCAGAATGAGAAAGGATTGGTGATTATATTAACATTTGACTCTCCGTGTGTTTTCATTTGAACAATGATATTCTCTCTTTTCCCTGTTACAGTTGCTGCTAACCTTCAAAAGATTGTAGATGACCCAATTACCTATAAAGTGTTGACCTTTAAGCTGGTGAGTTTCCAGATGAAGGATTGGCTGATGACAGCCTTAGTGAGTTTTGTCATGCCTGACAGTGTCCTCCTGTTAACGGGCTGTTGATGCATGGTGTGATGAAGGATTCAATTGCTGGAGTTACTGCTGTCTAGCAAAACAAATGACTTCAGGGTAAACCAACATCTGTTGCTCTGGTTTTTCTGTTCCCGCACAGAAAAGCATTTTATTTGTCAAAATATTTCAAACAATTTTGTGATAGTAAAGTGACAAAATTTTTAAAAAGTGTGACTTTTGCAGCTGTTTATTCACCAGTGAAGCCAAGATTATAGCATATATTTGAACATCATCCTCTGAAATGCAGCTAATGTGTAGATAGATTCATAATTAGTAGTAACTTTGTTTACTATGTCTGCACTATTAAACCTGTCACTGTGTTGTGGTAAAGACCTTAGCATAAATGACTACCTTTTGTTTTGTCAACAAACACAGTGCTAAACCAGCTAAAGTCACATAACTCTATTCAATATTGATTTGTTTTTCTGATACAGTGTAGTATTAGACTCATAAATCTCTCACAGTAAACAACATTATCTACACTTCTGTGCACAATGAGAATGAACCTGTCCTGTGTTGTATTTTGAACAACCCAAAACATAACATTGTGTGCTGTTGAATGAAGTTGTCTGCTTACCTCGAAAAAGATATCCAAGCTGTTGTATGTTCTGCAGGAGAAACACAAGTTCCAGAGAATACCAGTGATATTTTATTTTGCTGCGTTTCTTCGTGGACACTAGTGGTAGGTCTGTGATTGAGATTTTCACAGGCTGACTAGATTATGTCATGCTTTTGTTAAAGTAAGAACATATCACTTTTTATGAAGAAAATCGATTTAACAATCAATTTTATGATTGTATGAGTTTTTTGGATTAGCCCATGTTACAGGTCGAAGCATTTTAAAATCTAATCTTTCAGCCATGTTTTCCAAGTTTCCCCTGTTATATTTTCCAAAGCATATTTTATTTCCTAAGGCTGCATAACTGTGGATCCTGATAAATCCCTGCTCAATTATTCTATTGTAAGCTAAGAGTTATGAGGGCAATACCATAAAAGCCAGGGAGTGACAATAATTACCTTCACAAGGGAAACAGTGCATAACACTTTATGTACATAATTTATAGAGTGGGTGTCTCTCTGACAGCTTTATGGTTGAAGTGACCAAGAGATCCAGTGGTCTCTGAGCTCAAAACTGACCTATCCTACATCACTGCCTCAATGTTGCCCAGACAATCAGAGGTCTCAGACCCCTGCGCTGGTCAGGTGAGTCTCTCTGAACTGTGACTGGTTGAAACAATTATATAGTCTCAACTTTTCTTTAGGGAACCTAAATAAAACCCAAATTTCCATTTTGATTTACAGAGAAATCAAAATGAGGATTAAATGGGCTATTGGAAGTAGACACATATAAATGGTAATGACACCAATGCAAATGGCTAATGGAAAAAAAAAAATAAGTTAGTGTCTACCTGGAATGAGCTCTGTAGTTAAAAGAGGAAGCCCATTTTAGCAGCTTCAATCTGGAGTTTAGTTTTTTTGGTCATGAAGGTTATGGCATAACATTCACCGCCATGACCTTCAGCATCCTTAAGGGGATGAGCGAAAGTGTCTTGTGCTTCAGTGATGGTAGGATGAGCTGGGAAATGGATACTTGGACACCTGGGCCAATATCTAATAAAGGCGAGCTTGTGGTCTGTTGGGGTGAAGAACAAGCTGGACCAAAAAAGTAAAGCTCTTCATTTTACCATTTTATCCACTCTTATAGATGCCCTACATAAATTCTACTCGATACACATTGGCATATTTTAAAATTTTTATAAAGGACTCAGTCTCAGTAAAAGTCTCAGTAAAAAAACACAAAAGTTGAATGTTGAAAGTCTTAGGGCCTAGTAAACATGAAATATACTTGCCTCTAGTCATTAGATCTCTTGTTGTTACATGAGCTAACTGATGAGGAAATAATCCAGTTTGAGCATGGACAAATTATAGTTTTATTTCCTAGCTGGAGAGCTTCTTGGACTCCAGAAGATATTCTGTCTGGCAGACAGTTAATTGCTTTTCAAAATTAATTATTGCAGCTTGCAGAGAGGTGTAATTTTTGTGAGGAGGGCGCTCTCAAGAGAAAACAAATTAATAGGCAAATTTTACACCCTGTACTTCCTGCTTCAAATGATAAACACATCATTTCAGACAATGTCATATTAAGTGTTTCATACCACCATAAAGAATGCTCTTTCATTATAATACAGTTACATGCCTTTAATAGGTTATTTTGACTTTGATATGTGCTTTCAAATAACTTGTTTGAAGTAAAGAGTCAGAGGAAGGACAAAAGCTTTGTTGTCTTGTAGTATCTTTGACTTTTCTGGTTCTCCTTACAACTACAATAAGATTGTAGAGGATTGACCTTTGCTTACAGCTTTGGGTATAACATCTTCATTTCTCACAGTTTGACTCTGTAGTTTAAAAAAAAACACAGGTACACAAGAAAGACATAATCACTAACAGTGAGCAGTGGAAAAATGGTTAGTTGCTTAGCTCCTGTAAGTTGTCAAGGTTTTTAGACAAAATACTTCCATTGGAAACCAACATTGATGTGTCTAATATCTGGGTTTAGTATGGATAGTATGTCACGCTTATCTTGAAGTCTTGTTTTGGCTTTACCCAGAGAGCTATCATTGTAGAAATCAAAACACATTGCAAACAGTTTCACCACTTTGTACACATTCATCTATTGTTTTCGGGTTGCAGAGATTCTGGGTACACAAAGGAAATCCACATATCTTTCTTCCCAGCATCTGCAATATTATTCCGGTTGATCCCAAGGAATTCCCAGGACACAGGACACTATGTAGTCAGCTTGGCTCGTTCTGGGTCTTTTCCTTGGTCTTCTTTTAGATGGACATACTTAGAAAAGCTCCAAGAGCAAGTACCTAAGAGGCAGACCAGTTCTAAACCTCTCACTTGATTTTTTTTATAAACCATAGAAAGAAGCCACTCCTCCTGGATGAGAAGTATGCCCCGAGTCCGAGAGAAGCTAAAAGTCAAGGCGTAAAGATGACTGTAGAACCACATCATCTGCTTCCAAACAGGGCATCCCCCTCTTCATGACCAAGCTTTAAGATTCCATCCAGGAACACCATCAGTAGGATTGTGAAAAGGGATAGAATCCAATCTACGAACACAGCTCTTGCTTTGGTCATGCAAAGATGAAATTAAGTTTAATAGCAACTCTGGCTCTAAGCTCTGACGAGTCTTACCACAAAGTCCGTCAAAAGACATGGCCATATAAGCCTTATGCAGATAACCAGTTGTTTCCAAGAGAAATATAAAAAAAAAAAAAATCTAGGGAGCAGTCTTCCTTTTTCTTGTCCTAGTTCTTGAAAGGAAAAGGCTTTCATTCCTGGTACTTCACACAAGGCTTGAAACAGCCTCAGGGCATGCTGAAGGCCATGCCTTCAAGTGCTGTGTGCTTGAAGATGCACACAGCATCAGAACTTTAGGTGTCCAAACTAGACACCCTTCTCTCTACGACTACGACTTGAGATCCCACTGACACTGACACTCCAAATTCTCACAAAAGGCTTGAGGACCAGATGGCTTCAAGCAAAATAAAGACAATTATGCTACAGTGACTTTTGAAAGTGCTCACATGCTTCTTAGTGTTTACATTTACACAACTAGGTTACTGTAACTGTTTACGGTAATATATGTTGAAACGAGCAATCGGCCTAATTTTTTAAAAATGATTTTAACTTGTATTATTTGTTTTACATATTTTTTGTCCTCTCTTTCCAGGCTTCAGGATGTGATGACACAGAGATCCCAGATGAGGTGAAGTTGATCGGCTTTGCGCAGTTAAGTGTTAGCTGATGTTCATCTTTGAAGCAGATGAGTCAGGGAAGACAGTTCAGGGCAGACAGACTGAGGAACACACCCCAACAACCATCACTTTCTGCTATATCTTTCTCAACTCCCTCCCAGAAAAGCCTTTCTTTGTCTTCCGTCCTCTGCTCTTTTTGACTTTCCCAAAGCTCTGTCATCGCTTTACCACCACCTCTGCACCGTCGACTTCCCTGCTCGCTGTCCGTTGACCTCTAACCTTAACATTCCAGCACCCAGCGCACAGAACAGTACCAGGATACAGCCCAGGAACCAAAAGATGTACTCAGATGGTGAAAGAAGGTGATAAATATGTAGCTTTGAACGTTTTATTTATTTTTTCACTTCCTTTAATTTCCACTGCATTACAGTTATTCATAGCAAAAATCAAATTATTTATTGAAATAAGATGATATTTAAAATTTTATTTTTCTGTCACATTGTTTTGTTTCCACTGTGAAAATAAATGTCCTCCCACACTTAATGATTTATGAAAACTGCTTGGGGTTTGTGTCAGAATGTAAGAATCGGTAAACATGTAGACATAAGCACATTTTTATAATAACATGATGAATGTTTTAAAATAAAACACCCAGAATGAATTGTTTTATGTGTTCAGACCTGTTCCACGAAAAATGGAAGTGTTTGGTTGAGTGCAGCGAAATAAATGAGACCTGGATGTTACTGTGCATACTTTGCTGCTCTCAACAGTGTTAACACTTCAGAAAATGTTTGAGGTGCCTTGTTCATTTTTCTGTGCCTAAGAAAGTTGTCAGTGAGTGAGACGACACTGAGAGCAGAACTTGCTGATTGTCACTTCATCAATGCATTCCCTGCAATGATTTAGTTCACATGTGCAGTCCAAAGACTGCCCAAAGAGGGAAAATGAAATGCACTTTTGAGTTGGGATGCACAGCCAACAAACTGACTCCTTAATTTATGTGCTTTCAGACAAATAAAACCCGGTGGAACCTGCAGTTGTATGCTCTTGCTCCAATTGGTGTCTATCAGATGCCACAATCCAGCACTGGGTTTTTCTTTTTGTTTTGTTTGAATAAGTAAAGTAGCTACCTAATTGTACGACATCAAAAAAATGTATGACATTAAAAAATGGAACCAAATATCGTATGCTGAGTGTGAAGAGCCATTTGTTTGTCAAAACAAATCCAGTAGCACTAAATCATTTTAGGTATAAAAGTGTTAAATAACTCCTCTAAAAATGTTTATTTTCTGAAGTAAATTATTGTTTGTTTTTTTTATGTACACTGTGCATCATTTCAACGTATTATCCATTTCCCTTCTCTGTAATCAGCTAATGTCAAATTTCTGATATGAAGCAACAAATAAAGAATATTTAAGAAATGCGTGATTTCTTGATTTCATTGCTACAAATTTGCCATCATCAAAGGAAACTGATTGTTACATTGGTAGTACTATCAATCTCTAACATCCAGGATGACAGAAAAGTTTTAAAATTAGATTATTGAATTTTGGCCATAAATTACTGCTTTACAAATATTCTAAACATTAAAAACACAGTTGATATTTACATGGCATAATGATAAATGGACACAAATCTCGTTTAGGATTGATAACATTGATCGTTTATAACATCCTTCCTTAATTATTGACTTTAACCCTGCTCATTTTTTATTTTTTTTAAATGAGATCTAACAAATCTGCAAAGAATAGAGGTCAAATAATCACTCTTTGTTATGCCAGCAGCTTCTGTGGGCTTTCTTTACAATTCTTTAGTTGCTGCAGATTGCACTGATACCTGTGCAGTTTTTTTTCTGTTACACATTTTCCTTCCACTTAGTTTCCTAGTACTATTCAAGGCTACATCAGTCTATGAACCACCTTTTTCTTTAGCAGCTGCCTTTTGTAACTCACCCAAAAAATGTAGGGTATCAGTGAGTGATGGTTTGACAACTATCAAGTCAGTCTTTCTCTAGTATTGCATAGCTCTAACATTAAGGCATGCAATATGATTGGTCTGTTGTAATACTGCAATTTTTTCAAAGAAACTAAATATTTTTCATTTGCTAGACAAGCCATTTTCCTTCAAATGAACAGAAATGACCTTGAAATGTATCATTGTGTGACAATATGAGTTTTACTTTTTAAATTTAATTACAGAAATAAATTAACATTTTGATCATGTATTTTGTTGAAATTTACCTATTAAATAAAAGTCACTGAATAATTTAAAATTTTATTATTTCATCAGATAGTTTTCTATGACTTCTTGTTTTACTGGGGTACAAATATAACAGGACCCAGAGACCATTATCTCCTTGAAATGCTTCAAAATGGGAAAGAGAGGAGCACAAGCAGAAATGTGTTTTTCCTCAAAATTGATCCAAGAATTTATCAACTTCCTTTAACTTCCTATTTTCAAAACAGTAATGAAAAAGTCTAATAATACTGGAAGTGGGGAAAAAACAAGGCTGAACGAGGAACAACGATGTATTGTATTAGCACTACAATGAGTAGGGTAAAGACTGGAGGGAACAAAAACTCACTGATAGAGAAACAGTGCAGACATTTTAGAGGGATATTATTATATGGAAGAATATGGGCACATGTTGAAGCTGTTTACACATCTTGTATTGCAAATAAATGTAGAGGGCACTATAAAAGTAGGGCTTTATTAGACACTGAGTTTCTAGTTCAAAGTGTATAAAATCCGTCATTACACAATAAAACTGTTGCTTAAGCGGCTGATGAGAATAACATTTAATGCAGTCCTGGATTCCTTTGATTGGAGGAACAGACACGAGGAGCTTTGCTACAGAAGAGGCTAAAGGAAGAAGTGAAAAATAAATATGGAAGATAGAGACCAAATTAAGTCTATCACAGTGAAAATAGGCAGTACAACACAGTCGCAGGGTTTGTATTAAATATGCAAAACATTTTAAATAAATTTTGTTAGGCAATAACTTAAGACTAAACAACACAATCCTTGGGAGCCTGTGGCCCCTTTAAATCTGTGTAAGAGAAACTGGAAGAAGACAAGCAAGTGAAAGTACTGGTTTAATTATAATTATTCAAGTATTTCTTTTTTTTTGTATAAAAACATACAATATATAACAACAATCCCCTTATGGGATATAAGCTTTCACAGTAAATGTCACATTAGCTTATAAGACTACAAAACCTCAGTGAAAATAAAAAGGAAAAGAATAATTGGCCACCGGAGCCACATTTTATCTGAGAGAGCTAGATTTTCCCATGTTGTTTATACAGTGACAGTGATCCTGCAGCCACTGATGTGCAAGATACATATTACAATACATCCAGTCTGTAATGATCCCAGCTCGACATAATAAGAGTCCTGCACGGCACAATGCAGTGCTTTTCTCGGTGCGCGTAGCAGCTGATGAGCTGAAACAGCTGCTGATGTACAACACACATAACCAAGAGCAGCAGCTACAGTAATGAGAGGCTGGTAGCCGAGACACATAATTACCTCTGGCTTGGAAACGCCAAAGTAAGAAAACAAGAAAATGTGTTAACTATCCAAAAGATACACGCTGCTTATTTTGGAAGAAAAAAAAAGGCAATGTGACGATGATTGTATGTAAACAAAAACATCAGGCGAATTCATCATGAAAAAGTTGCAACTTTTCCACACTGTTAATATTAACTCTATAGTGTTAGACTATCATTTCACCCTACTTGGATCATGACGCTAATAATAGACTGTTTTTTTTATATTTAGCCTCATTAAAAAGATGGAGAAAGGGAATAAAGAGCATGAGAGCACATGTCAGAAGCGTGGTCGTCAGGGTTGCACTTGCAATCTCATGCTTCCGAAGGTCTCCTAAACTATACTTTTAGAGATCATTATTTAGACATCTGATATATAAGTAATGCAATATATATTCGATTTCTTCACATTCTTTTGGATTGCACTCTAGGAGGGTCAGCAGCTGGGGAGCCAGGAAAGATTCTTGCTCAAGGACACTTGCAGTAAAGGGGAGAACAGGTTTAAAATGCATGGGAAATGTCTGAACATCTGCACTGTCTCTACAGGGCAAGCCACAGCAGTTAGTGCTTTCTTCAGATTGGCATATTCCTTACAAAGTACTAAAAACCTACTAGTAACAACCCAGCATTTAAAGAGCTACTTTAGGACTTCTAAATACCCAGTTAATGTGAGGATATTAAAAATCTCTCTCTCACACACAAATACTATATATATATATATATATATATATATATATATATATATATATATATATATATATATATATATATATATATATATATATATATATATATATATATATATATATATATTTCTTTGATTTCTTTTTATGTAACTAAATCTAATATTTGTTAAGTACATGTAAGAAAAGGTTAAAAGAAAAAAAAGAAACAGTAAAAGAAAAGTTGCCACTTACACTACGCCAAAAGGCATTAGATATGTTTTTTTTTTTTAAAAAACACAGTACAACAACAACAAAAAATCCTTGTCTAATTTTAAAGGCAACTTGTTGCAAAGTTTGTGAGCTACCACTTTACAAACCCAGATTTCCATGGGATATGGTAAAACAAGACTTTGAGCAAGCTAGTGGTGTGAAAAAAGGCTGTGGTTGACCTCAACTTAAAGTGCACTGCAGTAATCAAGATGAGTTGTAATGTGTGTATTATTCTCTCTAGTTGTCTTTATAGCTTTTGCTGTCTTACCTATTTATAAAAGTCTTTTTTGCAAAGTGGGGCTCATCTGTTTATTAATTTTCTAAAACCATAATTATGCCCAATTTATTAGCTATATGTTCATAAATACTGATGTGGCAGAATAAAACACCCTTGGTTTTACTTTCATTTTACGATGGAAAATTGCAAGCTTACAATGACTTGATGCCAAACGGAAAAAGTACAGATAAAAAAGAAAAGAGAAAAATACAGAATCCAAGGAACTCCACATAAAAAAGGTGCTGGAGTAGACAGAAACTTGTTGATATTAAGATCAGCAATTTATTTTATTATGCCGGTCCTACGATGTAACTGAAATGCTCCAGACACCAGATACAAACTGTGGAATCTACAGAATCAAATGCTCCCATTAAACTTTATAGTACAAAGATTACAAAGCTTCCATCACCTGCTAAAATTATATATTCAAAAACAGCTAACAGTGCTATTTAGATGCTTAAAACTAGCCTGGGACTCCTCCAGGATTGTGCAATTGTTCAGAAATGGCACCATGTTCAAAAATCTTTAGGTCTCTCTAGGGTAGGGGTCTTTAACTCCAGTACTCGAGGGTCCATGTTCAGACACTTCTGCTTCAACACACCTTAGTCAAAGAATGAGGTGATTAGCAAGGCTCTGGAAAACTTGGCTGCTTACTGTGGAGGTAAGTCAGCAATTTCAGGTGTATTAGACAATTATGATGTTTTTACTGGAGTGGTATAAGACATTCTGCTTTTATCCTATTTTAGACTAGGTTTCAGCCTCTGGAAGAAATCAAACAAGATTTATACTTAATGAACATGTTGTATTCTCCAGGGAAAATATTAAAAGCTTTAACAGAACCCAACTTTAAAACTCCTAAACAAATGCTTTAAGAGTGAGTGACTGTACACGCTGCTGATGCTAATGCTAATTAATCCACGTGTCATAAAACATGAACTTGCAGAAGCAACTGCAGGTTCTTACATGTTTAAATGGGAAAATGTGTAATGAGATACAAAGGAAAAAGTAAATGAGGTTGGGTAGGGGTTGAGCTGGATAAATTGGGAGTTATGCTTTGTTGATCCTCATGTCTCCTAACATCTGAGGTGCTTCTTGCTGGACATATCATTCCAGATGCGGTGCATCTCCTCCGGGGGGATCTGATGGACTGTGATGACGCGCCTGTACCTGCAAAGACTGTAGGCCATTTTCCAGTGGTTGAACCCACTGTTCTGATAAGGGTGGATGCCTAGTTTACGCAAACACATCCCCACATACACGTCCTCCAGGTGCAACAGTCTTGTGTGCAACGAAGTCTTGTAGATTAGCTCAGCTACATCTGCGGAGAACACATAGCCGGTGCCTGAGCAAAATGGTGGATATTTGTTTTCAGGGTATAGGTCCCTGGGCATGTACCACTTGCTGCGCATGTCTCTGATCGGACCACCGTTTATCACATAGCCTGTGAAGTATCTCCTTCTGGGCTTGGTGCTGGGCTTTAGAAGCTTATAAATAAGATTGTCCATGTTGACGAAGATGTCACTGTCTGTCTTCATGACATATTGAGCCTTTGGGCAGAATGTCGCTACCCAGCGCATGCCCATTAGAGTCTTTAGGGTGAGATTGTGATATGAATCAATAAAGTTCTCCACTACAATATCATGGAAGATCTGACTCTCCTGC